ACTAAGAGAATGGGGCGAATTTTTACACTGACTTATATAATGAGAATGGGGCGACGAATGTTGAAGTTATTAATCCAAGAAAACAGATATCTCAGGAAGACAGTTGTGCTATTGATCAATGTTTCACTGCTGAGGAAATAAAAAATGTTGTGATGCACTTCAAACCTGATAAGGCTCCGGGACCTGATGGTTTCCTTGCTAGGTTCTTTCAGAAATTTTGGGAGATTGTTGGCCAAGATGTGGTGAATGGGGTCCTGCATTTTTTCAATAATGGAAATCTTCCAAAGGGAGTTAATTCAACCTTTCTTACTCTTATCCCTAAGAGTAATCATGGAGACAAAATTGCGAATTACAGACCTATTACCTTGTGCAATATCACTTATAAGATTATCTCTAAGTTGCTTGCTAACAGGTTGAGTTCTGTGCTGCCTAATCTGATAGGACCAGAACAGTCAGCATTCATCATGAATAGGAAACTTCATGATAACTTCCTGTTAGTGAATGATCTTGTCAAGGGGTTTGGCAGGAAGAAAGGAGATCCTTCAGTGGCCTTAAAGATTGATATTAAAAAGGCCTATGATTCAGTGGATTGGAGATTTTTACAGAATATTCTTCAAAGTCATGGTTTCAATGAGAAGTGGATCACATGGATAATGGGGTGTATTACTACAGCAAATTTTTCTATGCTCTGTAATGGTGTCCCTGTAGGTTTTTTCCAAGCTTCAAAAGGTCTTAGACAAGGGTGCCCTTCGTCTCCTCTGTTGTTTGCCTTTGTAACAGAGTATTTTTCTAATCTTATAAATAAGGATATTGAGGTTGGAAGAATCAAGAGATGCAATGAGGTGGTTAAAACAGGTCTGAAGATTTCACATGCCTTCTGTGCAGATGATTTGGTTATGGTGGTGAAAGCTGAAGTGGCCTCAATCAAAGCTATTGCAGATATTTTGACTGTGTTCAGATCTTCTTCAGGGCTGCAGATGAATAAAGAAAAAAGCTCAATTATTTTCTCCAAAGCTGTGAGAGGCAGAAGAAGATTATCCAGAATTTTGAAGTTTCAGGTTGAACAGTTTCCTTTCAAGTATCTTGGGTTGCCTTTATCAAATAACGTTCTAAGAACCGGTGACTATAAGATCTTGCTTGATAAAGTGGATGCTAGGTTGGGTCATTGGAATACAATCAACTTATCCTTGGCTGGGAGGGTGGAGTTGATCAAATCAGTTGTGTTCTCTTATTTATATCATTGGATTTTTGGATTCAAGGTTCCTTGGGAAGTAAAAAATTTGTTGGAGAAAAGATGTAAACAATTTTTATGGAGTGGTAAACAAAATACCAAGAAGATGGCTCAGCTTAAGTGGAGTCAAGTCACTCTTTGTAATACTCCTAATTTTAAAAGGACAATCCTGTAATTTAATATAATTATTTTTATTTAATTAATTAATTATTTGCTCATTTGATTTGTTTTATTTTTAATTAACTTAAATGTGTTTTTTTCATTAATTGTTTTAAATTGTGTTTTCTTTAATTAATTGCTTAAATTGTATTTGGGTTTGTTTCTTTACGTGTTTATGTAAATGCACTGTTTTGGTAATTAGGGTTTTATGTTTTACATCGTGTTTAGGATTGGAGCCGACATATAGTTGGTTTAGGATTTAATTTAGGGTTTGGTTTAGGATTTAAATTAGGGTTTCAACTTAAGCCTATAAATACATAAGTATACGTCTGCTAGGGTTTCCTGTAAACCATATTCACTATATTCACGTACATAAGGATACAGAGGGAATACAGAGAGAACTTTAAGAGAATAAGGTAGGGAATCAAGGAGGAGTTCTGGATTTAACTAGGAGTGGCAGAGGTTGATAACAACTATTGACATTGCCGAAGTTGCTAGCGACAACAGTTTTGGATTTTCAATCGGAAATCAGAAGCAAGTTTCTGTTCTGCTCTATCTCTTTAATCTGTGTTCTGTGCATGCCTAGGAGGACTTCAGGGACTTAATAAAGGCTAAAACAATTGTAAACAAACATAATATCATGGATTTATGCATATAAGAATCTGGTTTAAATACTCGTAAGATAGTTGTTTTGCCTATTTCTGCTTCTCTGTTAATCTGTTTTTTTTCTATAGTTGTGATTCAGGTTGTTGTAAACTAAGGTTGTAAATTATATGTGGGATGCTTTGTAACTAATCTAGGAGTGAGTTTAAAGCCTGGAACAAGATCTTAAAACAGTTTTGATTTTTACAAAATAAATCTGTTGTAAGTTGCTTAAGGTTGCTATTTGAACGTTCTGTAATTGTGGCTTCCAAACTTGAGTCTAGTTCAAATCATGGTTGCATATCAGTGGGTTAGGATTAATCTATAACTTTGATTGGACCCTAGAACAACTGATTAAAACATTCCAGAGGCTCTGTTAGTTACCGGAGTCGAAGAAGATGAAGCAAGAACAGGTGACGGTGTCCAAAGGAGCAAGAGCAGGCTCTAGAAAACCTAGGAGCCGCCTCTAAGCCTTTGGAGCCGGCTCCTAAAGGATTGGAGCCGGCTCCTGGCTGTTTTGGAGCCGGCTCCAATAGTCCAGAGCCGGCTCTTAAAGCAATTTAAGCAGTGCTCTCACCCGGATGCGCTCAGTTTTGGTTTAGTGCACTGTTTGGTTACGTGGGGTGTTTTAAATGGTTTGAATTGAATTAATGGATGGATACAAGTGTTGTAGATTCGTTAAAAAATAAAGAAACATAAATTCATAATTTAATTAAGGATTGGACAATGCACAGTTAGGCAAGGAATTTACCGGTTGCACCTTGAATATTAAACTGTTTACACTAGAGAATTTAGAGGATTGTTCGTATATGATTTAATTAGGATTAAACATATATAAATAGGATTATAAGTAACATTAATTACTTAAATTTAACTGAATTTGTGTTGAATCAAGTTAATTTTCACCTTGTTATTCAACTACGGCAGATACGGACAACTTGGAGGGTGTGAATGCTTATACTTATTTTGCAGATTACATTATTGGAATATTGATTTTGTTTAGGCTCTATAATGAATGCTTATTATTGATATATATGTATCAAATTATAATGATACATATTTTGGATGATGAATGTTGATTATATAGTGTGGTTCAATTAACTACGTAGTTTGGAGGAGTTAAATGCTCAGTAAATTTTTATCAGCTTAAAGGAATTGGTTTAGGATTTCTAAACTTTATATTGTGTGCATAATGTGATCCTAAACTTGATAGGTTATAATAAATGCTTATTCTGGAGTATAGTTGGTTTGCATCTATTACTGTTTTATCGACTATGTTAATTGGAGGATTGTATGTACCGGTATGGGACGGTGACATACTGGGTATGGATTAGTTCAAGCACTAAATCCTACCTAATCTGGAATGAGTTGAATTAACCATAAAAAAGGTTAAGCCTTACTTGAATGGATGTGTATGAACCGGTATGGGACGGTGTCATATTAGGGATGGCTTAGTTCAAAGCACTAAGACCTACCTATATTGGAATGGATTAGTTCAAAACACTAAGTCCTACCCAAATTTGGATTAAGGTATGGATTAACCATAAATGTTAAGTCCATCACCTACTTGTGTCATGTCAATCAAATAAAGTGATGACCTACTATAGTTTCAGGATGAATTTGTGCTACAAATATCAGACCACTATACGGATGGATGATATTTTGTATTAGGAGTACGGACTTTATATATTTATTTTATGTGCCATGGTATGAGCTTGAGTCTCAGGACCATGGTTAGGGCGCGTATATCGCTTGGGATGGATAACTGGACATAGGTATTGTTCCCTGGTAGGTCTAGGTACTCATGCCCACCTTAGGGTGCGTATTTGCATGTTGCCTTCTATTCAGGCTGAGACAAACCTATTGGACTAGCGAGCGTCCTATTAGTGTGCACTATATACATATATGGACTACTCTAGATATGGTTGAGTCTTCCTAGGATGTATCTGCGTATCGAATTACTGTTTGGATTGTAGTAGATCAGGACTTGCATGTGGGCCTGACCCACTCCTTTATTTTTCAGGTGTTCGTCAGTTCCAGGGTTAGAGCTTGGACGTGCAGAGTAGATACAGATATTCATTCCTCCGGCTATGTAGGAATCTTCTCTATGTTAGCTGTAGAATTTATTTCTATGATTTAAACTCCTATTTGAGAATTTTATAAGGGGTCCAATAGATGGATTCCCGAGTTGTAAATTTACAGAGGTTTTGAAGCTTGGATTTTTATAATTATATTTGGAAGATATTTATTTCTAGTTCCTTTCAGCTTTTAAATTTTTATTTCTTAAATCAATTTTGTATTCCGTGTTCGATTTAAAATATTAATTGTTTGATATCCCTCGGGTTCGGGCCTGGGCCTGATCAACCCGTGTCTCGGATCCGAGGGGTATCACACTCTTCCTGTTGAAGAGGGTGGTTTCAATGTCAGAAAGATTAGAGATATTGATTTTGCAGCAAAGGTAATTATGTGCTGGGATTTTATTCAACAAAAAGATAAATTATGGATACAATGGTTGAAGGCAGTATATTTGACCAAGACTAATTTCTGACTTGTTATTCCAAAGATCACTGATTCAGTTGTTTGGAAATATCTGCTGGGGATCCAAGAGATGTTGTTGGACAATGTGAAATTTCAGATTGGGGATGGCACTCAGTTCATGTTGTTGACAGACCCTTGGTGTCAAGGACAGTCTTTATTACAGCAACGGTAGGTCATCGTTCTTACGTGATGGAGGTTGAGAGGGACTTCTACTTAGATTGAGTAGGATGAGATATCGTAGGTAGTATTAGTTACTTCCTAGCATTATTACGTTGTGTATGTTGATGTCTTTACGTGGGAGCATTTATTTTATTTCGCTCTATACTGTATTATTTTCTTTTATTTTATTTGTGCATGGCATTCTTGGCATGCGGTGCGCATATATTGTATCTTGGGTTTGGTTAAGACAAACTTTCTTATATGTGATTCTACATCAAAGAAATTGGAATCTTCCTGCAGATTTCTCTGAGAACATGAAGACTGCTATTCAGCAAACTGATATTCATGCAGGAAGTGATCAAATCAAGTGGAAACATGGGAATTTCTCTCTGAAAGCAGCATGGAATTGTTGCAGAGTTACTGGAAACAGGTGTAAATGGGCTAGATTGTGTTGGAAACATTGCAGGTCTCGGATCAGTTTGTGTGCTATCATCATTTTACATAACAAAAATTTGTCTTTTGTGAATTTGCAGAAAAGAGGACTGCGAGTTACTTCTATTTGCCATAATTGCTATGCTGGGGATGATTCTAATGAACATTTGTTCTATCATTGTGGTTTTGCAGTTGAGATTTGGAGAGAGGTTTTTGATTTGCTGCAGCTACAGGTCCCTCAGTTTTTAAGTCTCAATCACATTGTGGACTGGTTTTTGCAAAACACTATGACAAAGTCTCTTAAATCTAAGATTTTGAATGGGATTTTTCCAGTTACTCTATGGAAGATATGGTCCAGTAGAAATGTTATGCTTCATACAGGGATACAAGAACAGAGCTCACATGCAGTGCAAGCTATTATTTGGGATGTTATCACATATCTCAATATTAGTTTAGCAGACTTATTGATTGTATTTGGTTTGTAATTTTTCATTATGAGGTTTGCTGTTTGCTGAAATTGGAATTTATTTCCTTTTTTAGGCTTTGGAGATTTGTCTCCTAATATAATTGTACTATTTTGAATATTTTTATAAAATCAACCCATTCAGGAAAAAAAAAAGGTAGATCTGGCTCTTGAAGATCGTTATTTACCCAAAGAGAATGGTGGATCTGGTTCTTCAAGCTCTCTTTCTTCAAGTAATCCTTCAATCTCTCTCTCTCAGTCTCTCTTTGCATTTGTATTAGTATTTTGTGGATTAAAATTTCTAAAACCTTCTTTCAGTTTTTATCCATTATATTAATTGCTTTTGTGATTATTGAGAAGCTTGTGGTTTAATTTTATTTCTAATTTGTTTTGGAAAATATTGATGGAGAAATTGCACAGTTTCGGTAATTTGTTCATTAGAACATCCAGAGTCGAAATTGAATGTTCGTCCAGCACTGTCTTCCTTATTCTATTTGGCTCATTCAAGGCTCCAATTCTCTCTCTACAACTCTTCAATCTCAGTTTCCATATATGGGTCTCATCCATTCAGCCGTATTCTTCAAGCTTGTCTTCAATCCAGTTAGTTCTCTGATGATACTCTCTATGTTTGTACAGCTTTCACTACCCATCTGTCACGTCTTCTGTTTTGACTCTTTTATTTTATTGCTTCAAAAAATTCCAATCTGGATTAGCTAAAAAAAATCAATCTGGATTAGCTTTCTCTGGATAAAAATACTACAAATTTAATGGGTATTTTCAATTTGTTTGTTACATATTTTTCCACCAGTCTTTCATTGAATATGGCTGTGATGATCTAAATTCCAATTATGCTAAATGGGTGGTTGTTATTACTTAGTTTTGCATAATTACATCAAGTTTTCCACACTTGCTGCGATGTCTTAATAGAACATAGAACATCGGATCATTCAAAGATTCTTGAGATGACAGCTTAAGGAATTGTAAAACAATGCAGCCACGTGCACTAATGTTGTAAAAAGAAAGGGGGAGATCAATCATATAACATATGTCAAAATGTTAATAACATGCAAAAACATCTAGGGAAGATAACTAACTAGGATTGATGAAAAATGACCTTGTTTCTGTGACAACACAATACATTTATTTTGTTTTTAAAAAGAATCATTTATTAGAAGCTCATAATTCAGTTGGTGACTGAGAATAATTAGATGGTTAGAGTTTATTTCCAGAAAAACAAGTAAAGGCAGACTCTATTTCAACATTACATTCATGAAATCTCTCAGCATGTCAGACCTTAATAAATAAAAGATAGCTAGGCTTCCTATTATAAACATGCTTAAAATACAACATTACAAGATAGGACAGACCAAATGAAGAAAGTAGGAGGAAATATGATCATTGCACATATCTTCACAGGAAACCAATATAATAGTATAAAGGAAGGCAAAAAAGTTTTTCCACCATCATGTTCTCACCGGTTATTCTCCCACGTATGTGCAAAAAACTTGCACATTCAAACACAAAACTGCAAGAGTGTATATGACATACATTAGAAGCCAAAATCAATTTAGTTTAATTGCTGCCAAATGCACTAATTAAGATATTAACTTTCATAAATTTCAAAATTTTCAGTTAAGACACCCATACGCTAGGAGGAAGAAACATTCTAAATGATAGAACTTACAACAAAAGTTTATTTTGACTACTTTTCCAACAAAGTAAAAATTCACATTTTGAAGATTTAGTGGTAAATTAATTTAATATAGCCTCTCTCTCGTTTTTTTTTTTTTTTTTTTTTTTTTTGGCTTTAAAATAAAAGGCAATTGTGGATGTGTAGTTATCTAGTGACCTTAGCACTAATACTAAATATGCTCTCATATCCCCAATGCTATAATATTGGTATAGCAGGTAATGGCTACACCATAAGCGACGGTGGGTTACCGGTAGTACTGTGGTGTCTAATTAAGTAATGTCTCATCCTCTTATGAGTCAAGCTTCTCTAGTGACTTAAATTCTTTTAGGCTGACTCGAGCTGAGTTGAATGCATCATGCATTCTTATCCTACACTAAAACCAATCCTATGTCCCTTATTAATTGTTGTGAAGCTTCTTGAGACCATAACATGAATTATATAACTCGCCTCAAAGCAATTTATTTTATTGTCAAACAAAACAGTGCAATTGTCCTATAGTTCATTCTCATTTCTAGATCAGAATTCTCCATTCCCTTACTTGATACAGTAGAGATCAATGGTTTACTTAAACAAAAAATAATTAAGTAGAAACTTCAACTTCAATGGATGAAAATGACTTTCACTACCTAATTATACTATAGTTTCGAAAGTTAAATGGTTTTCAATATTTCACTTGAACTTCAAAGACAGCTACAACTTAAAAAATATGGTTGTCTGCAATATCTCTTGAAGCACAACACTGTACTCCTGCTTTGGGCGATCCCATGGCTTCATAATCTTTTCAGCTAAAATCTGATTGAGTTAAAAACAATACTAGAAATCTGATGTAGGTTCTTGGAAAATTTGATACTAGAAATCTGATGTAGAAATCTGATACTATAAAGTTTTAAATACTAGAAATCTGATGTAGGTTCTTGGAAAATTTAAAAGAAATCTGATGTAGCACATTAACTTTGTTTTGGTATACCTTTTACTATGTTTAATCTATAATGGTTATTGAAAATTTGTCTAGGCTCATGGAAAATCAAGATGGACACAGATTGGAGTGACATATCGTCTTCATCGTCTAATGATTCAGATGAAGATTTTGATGACCTTGTAGATTGTATGTATTTGAATTTGATGTACGAGCATGAAGATTCCTTTAAATTCAAGGTACCAAAGGGAACTTCAGGGTTAACAGGTCACGAGTATGTTCAGGAATTGTTGAATGACCATGTCGGTCGATGTTTTGATTTATTACGAATGGATAGATAAGTCTTTCTGAAATTATGTCGAATGTTGAGAGAACGTAAATTGCTGGAAGACACACATACAATTTCAATCGAGGAGTCAGTGGTAATGTTTTTGTTCATTAGAGGACATAATATTCGTCATGTAGTGGTAGCTGAACGATTTCAACATTCTGGCGAAACAGTTTCCAGACATTTTAATCTCGTATTGAGAGCAATATGTCGCCTTGGGAAATTCCTCATACGTTCACCACAAAGCAATGATGTGCCTTCTCATATACTTCATAATCCTAAATACTATCCTTGGTTTAAGAATTGCATTGGAGCAATTGATCGAACACATATAAGTGCTTTTGCACCTGCCAGCAAACAAACTCCTTATAGAGGAAGAAAGTCTATAGTGACATAAAATGTCATGTGTGCTTGCTCATTTGATATGCTATTTACTTTCGTTTACGCGGGTTGGGAGGGAACGACAAATGATTCGAGAGTTTTTATTGATGTAATTACTAGAGTTGCTGTACGATTCCTGATACCAGCTGATGGTATTACTATTACTTTTGTCTTTTTAATATTAATAATACCATGCTACCAATCCTAATAAAATTTAAATAATTTTTTGCAAGGAAATACTATGTAGTTGATTCTGGTTACCCATGCACAAAAGGATTTCTGCCTCCATATCGTGGTCAAAGATATCATCTACAAGATTATAGGGGTAATAATCGACAACCGCGTGGTAAAAAGGAATTGTTTAACTATCGGCATTCATCACTTCGCAATGTCATTGAACATTGTTTTGGAGTACTAAAGGCTCGTTTTCCCATTTTAAAGCTTATACCTTGTTATGAATTGGTTAGACAACGACTCATAATAATTGCTTGTTGCATGATTCACAATTTCATTCGTCAAAATATATTAGATGATCGTTTTTTTATGGAGTATGGGGAAGAAGATGTTAATGTCGCTGATGGGGGGAATGGTAACAGTAATAATGTTGATGTACTGAATGCACTTAATTTATCTGATGATGGTGTAGCACAAAAGGGAGCCATCTGACGGATCAAATGTGGGCATCATTCAGAGACAATGCTAGATGAAGTTACTTTTATAATTCTCCAATGTTATGCTTCGATTAGCTATTTGTGTAATTCTATAATATTTTGTCTTGGCTATGTATGACTAATATTAATGTTTGTACAACTAAAAGTGCATATGACACTTAAAGTAATTCATGTAACTCTTTTATTGTATTTAAATTTAGTTAAATTTTAATTAAACTTGATATATTGTATTTGTGTAACTTTTATAAAGTTAAGAATATTCTAAATTGAATTCACCTCCAACACTTATTTAAATATATATATATATATATATATACACACACATTAATAGTTAATATCATAAATTAAAAAAATAAAAGAGTGAGGTACAATAATATTTTTATTTATTTTCTTAGTACCTGAAAACTGTTCTTGAGAACAGTTCTCTGAAACGCAATCCAAGCAAAGCCTAAGTTACCATCCACTTCCTTGTATAATTTGTATTTGTACAGTGTCATCAGACAACTTGCAAAACTGTCTCTCTATCTTTCTACTTATTGAATCAAGTAGAGATGATTTAAAAATAAAATAAAATCATGTAGACATTGATTTAAAAATAACATAAAATAAAAAAATCATGGAGAGATACAATTCCTAAGTCAAAATTAAACCATGTGGTTGATGAAATCAAAACTTCGTCATATTTTTAAACATTTTTTTTTTAACCACCTATCACTACTAAAACTGTTACTCCTACATCCTAAAGTTGCTGTGAATTAAGAACCTATTTTTTATTTTTTTATTTTTTTTCACTGTCACTCCTATATCGCTCTAGTCCCACCTCAGTGTTGTTTTTCCTTCTTTTTTTTTTATTTTTTTATAGGTTTTTTGGCCTTGGGTAAATTCAATGTACATAAAATATGTCATCTTTATTTTTCTTAACTAAATTCTATGACGCAGTTGAAGTTATGAAATCGTTCAAAAAAATAAAAGGTAACTTTGAATTTATAAATTAAAAAATAAATAAATAAATAAAAATCGTACATGTATTTATAACAAAAACCCCTAACAATATAAGAAACCCTAAAAACATTTAAAAGAAAAAAGAAAAAAGAGGGCAACGCAATAAAAAAAAATGCTCAAAATTAAACTCACTCTAAAAATTCTATAAAAATAAGGTAAGAAACCAATTATCAAAAACTACTAAATACAAAAAATAAAAGTAATTCTAACAAAAATTCCGAAATATTTAAAATTGAAAAACACCAGACATAATTGCTGAATCGAGCTAGGCCATTTCTAATCAAACTAGATTTCTTCGAGTGAAAATGGATTCGCCGAAATTGTCCCGAAAAACTGAATCACCTCGTCGTTTGACCTTTCGACGGTCCAAATGAACTCCAAAATCATCATTAATCTCTCCTACGTCATCCTCAATCCCATGCTCATTCAATTACTTCGTTATGAAATTTGAAATTAGTGTATTTTGATAAATTAGCATTAATTTTGGCTTTGTAACCACTCTGCACATAAATTAGAGTTGAGTCCAAAATCATCCTCTCATAGTTCAAGCATGGAGAGCATCTTAAACTTGTGTTTCATACTATAACCCATACCTATCTCAAGTAATTATCAATGAAGGTTATATAACAATAATAATAATTATTTTTTACTTATATCGAAAAAAAAAAAAAAAAAACACAATCACTGTGATTCAATAATTATTTCTGCCACTTTTTATAAGATAATTTTAATTATAATTTTAATTAATTTTCCTTCATCATTCATTTACATTAACTTTGTCACTCAAAATATTAATTCTGTGAAAAATATATAGTGAGAATTCTGCTTACTTTTAATTCTTGTTTTTTTGAGTTTCATCAGTTTTTTTATTTATTTATGTTATTTTATTTTTTTACTTTATAGTATATGTATTGACCTCATAACATACGTACCATTCAAGTCAAGAATGCAGTTCGAAAATGAGAGTTCAAAGACTTACTTCCCAGATCCATGTCACTATATCCCTAAGGCAGCCTCTCCTTCTTACAAATTACTCCTTATAGGTCATTTATATTAATAGTATAGAATGCCTAATCTGAAGAGAATTCTTGTTTAGTCCATATAATTTATTTGTAATTTATTCTAAGTATAAAGTATATATGTAATTATGTATGACACGTTGATAATTTAGTTTTCATTATAAAATAATGCGTTATAATTTTGCTGATTGGAAAGATGAGTGAAAATTACACGAAAATTTATAACTCATTTAGGGATGCCTCGCTTAATGCGTTACTCTATTTGAAACTTTTTAGACTATCCTAATAGGGATTGATCCAAGTCTTTATTGACACACATTTTTTAAACAGAAACTCTTTTATTTATTATTATTATTTTTTAAATATGAAGTTTTTTTTTTTTTGTTTAGGATGAATTATTTTTATGTGTGAGAACTAGAGCAATAGTTGGGACGGGTTAAAGTTATTACTCGAGCCCAATCTGATATATGAAATATTTAACTCAAGCTCAATTCTAACTCTATCTTCAACTCTAACTACTCCATCCGAGCCAAATTCATCATTTTACTTTTAAACTCGAGTTTGTAACTCAGACTTAAATTTTGGATTAATAAGTAGTGTTAATTCGAATTACCTATATGGCCAATTTGATTAAATTACTCTCAAACAAAAAAAAAAAATTAACAACTTATTACAAATTTTAATAAATTACTAACAAATGTTTATAAAATTAATTCTCTAAATGTTAGTATACAAATAAATTAAGATTTAAGAAAGGAAGTTGAAATGAAAAACTTGATCATAATTTGAATAATATATATAATGCATTTAAAATTATATATATATATATATATATATAGAAATAATATTAGAATTCGAATTCAGGTTTGATCAGATTGCTAGCACTTTAATTCAAGTCTAATCCTAATTAGATTCGAATTGAGATTTTTTAACCCATACTTAACCATAATTATAAAAATAATTATCTAAACTCGAAAAAAAAAAAAAGACTAAACTCGGATTGCCCAACCTAAATTGCATAGGAAATAGCGATACACAATTACTAGAAGGCTCTTCCTTATTGGTTGCGAACGCAATAGCTCTTACACCAGCTTTGTATCACTCTCCATAGCACTCCTACTGAGAACCAAACAGTGAAATAGGAAACATCTAACACAACATGTGATTAAACTTGAGAACATATACAGAACATGGTCATAAATATATATGTCTTGGCATTCTAGATGTTTTTGTCATTTCTTTAGCATTGATTTGTGGTTTATGTAGCAATTTTGGGAATATATCTCACAAAAATTTCCTTGTATGAAAAATTAAGGCAAGTAGATTTATCATAATTACATATACTTTATTATTTGAAATTTTATACTAGTCTCTCCTTTATTTTTGTAACAAATTTTTCATTTTTTAACCGTTAACAACTTAACACAAGTTAATTTAAAATTTTCAAAATATTAATTTTATTCTTTTAATACTTATTATATTTTAATTCTAATTCTTCTTTTAAAAAACAGGATAATAAATTAAGAACAAAATAGTAAAATGATAAGTTCTTTTTTCTTTCTTTCTTTTTTCAAAAATTACCGACGTGTAATATATGATTACCATAGAAACAGGCAATAATTTCCATGAAGAAGAAAGTGAAATTTAGTGTCTTATTATTAATTAATTACCAGATATAAATTATAATAAAATCCAAAATCCAAAATCCACGTGTAACAATGCATGATAAGCTTAAAAAGCTAACACCAGATAAAAACAAAAAACACGAAAAAAATCAAACTGATAAGTTTGTACAGATATATATATATATATATATATATACACACACATATTATAGAGAGAGAAAATAAAAAAGTTGTAGTGAGAGAGAGGAGGGGACTGTTAAGAAAATTGACACTATCTTTTTTATCAAAAATTGAACCGCAAAGCAATAATGATGGGTGATACATATTGCCCAGATTGTAAGAGAAACACCGAGGTGGTGTGTGACCACTCGGCCGGAGACACTGTGTGTTCGGAGTGTGGGTTGGTCCTGGAGGCCCACTCCATCGACGAGACGTCGGAGTGGAGGACCTTCGCGAATGAGTCCGGTGACAACGACCCGGTCCGAGTTGGTGGGCCCACCAATCCGCTGCTCGCCGACGGTGGTCTTTCGACCGTGATCTCGAAGCCCAATGGGGCCACCGGTGACTTCTTGTCGTCGTCGTTGGGACGATGGCAGAACCGGGGGTCTAGCGCCGATAGGTCCCTTGTAAATGCCTTCAAGGCCATCGCCACCATGTCCGACAGGTATGATTTTCTCTCTCTAATGGTGAATTTCTCTCTCTAAAATTAGAGATTTTGAATTTCCGGAATTGGGTCTCTTTCTGTGTGTATGTGATTACGAAAATTTTTGTGTTTCTAAAGCTGTATCTCTCTTTTCAATTTTTTTTTTTTTTGTTATTTTATGGGTTGGGTTGTTTTTTTCTCAGGATTGAATTTTGATTCTCTGTCGATTTTTATGTTTGGTTGCTGAGAAAATTGGAGGAAAATTAAAAAGGAAGTAAAAATTAGTAACATGTTTCGTCAAACTTTATTTGGTTGCTGAGCATTATCTAATGAACTGTTTGTGTATTCTAGATTGACTTTTTATGTGTCAACATCAACTGTTTGAAGAAAATGTATGAAACAAATTGTTTTTTCTTTATTTTCTGTTTTTTTCAACAGAAAAAGAAATTCTGGGGAATTTATTTTCTGACTAAGAAAATGAAAATGAGTCTTTGGCGTGAAGTTATATATATACATGTGTGTATATTTTCCTGAAGTTAATTAATGATTCAAAATAATTTTTTTACGATACTTTGCATATCTGTTGAGACTAACTGCAGCCCTAAAAGGGAAAACTTTCCTAAACAAGAAATTTTTTTCAGGAAGTGGGAACTGCATTGAATTTAAACAAATGGGGAAATAAATTGGACCTAAAAAAGGGTTAATTTTTGGTGTTCTAGTTTCTAAGAATTGCTTTTACAAAAGAAACTGATTCAAATATAACTGATGGAATTATGGTTATTTCAGGTTGGGTCTTGTTGCAACCATCAAGGTATGTTATTACTTGCTACTCATTTCAGTTGAATAGTAGCAATGCTAAAAATGTGCTTCTTGGTAGTCTGTATGTTTGTGTATTCACAAGTATTGAAATATCATTCGGGCATTTTCCATTGTTTAGCTTACTTTGTGATTATACACACCCATATTGTTTTATAGAATATTTATTATACATTGCCATGGTGATATCATGTCTTCTTCTTGTTTTTTTGTTTTTGTTTTTGTTTTTTTTTTTTTGTGGGTTATGGGTGTAAATATTTTATGTATTGATATGAACTGTGTGCTGAAATTTATAAAATAATCAAGTGGACAGAGAGAGAGAATTATTGTAACTCGTAAACATGGGAAGAATGGTTAAATCAAAAGTTGGGTTTTCTGCAAGCTCTATATGAAACTATAAAGACATGCTGTATAAAAGCTTCCAAAATTTCTCAAAATGGATATATAGCATCTCTTGTCAATTTTGTAACGGATGTTTGAAAGTAACGTACACAGAATTAGTTTTGTAATATTTTCGGTATAATCATTTCTACGTATTGATAGAGTTAGGAATCCTTGAAGCCAAAAGGGTCGTTCAAGGAAAGCCAACTTGTTCCTGCAGGTCCATTGTGCAGAAGAGGAGAATTAGTTTTTTTTTTTTTTTTTTTTTAAATTCATGACGTGAAAGCAATTTTTAATTTTGACTCTTGTGTACATTTTAATATTCAATATATAGTGATAAAGGACTCATAGTCATCTTTGCCAACAGAATGCTTCAACATGGTATAATATTAAACTAATCATGTACCTGTAGCACTATTGGGCCTGTTTGGTTCAATTTTCTTAGAACACTTTTCTGTTTTCTGAGAACTGAATATCAGAAAACTTAGGAAAAAAAAAAAAGAAAAGAAAAGTCTATTTGGTTGACAGTTTCTGAAAACTGTTTTCTAAAAACACACTTAAAAAAAGTTCTGTTTTCAGTTATCAAAAAATAATAATAATAATAAATCAATAAATAAATTAGCAGGTGAATAAACATGACTAACTAAACTTTAAAATAAAAATAAACTCGACCAAATTACAATTCATATTTTGATGTGGAAATTGCCAACACGATGGCATTAAATCCTAACAGTATCAATGGTGGTCCATATGATAACATATTCTTTTGGCTTGAGGATGTTATATGGTAGGCTTCTCACAACAAATGATAAATACATCCAAATGGATATTTCAAGATGCAACATGATTGCAAAATATAACTCCTGATTCTAGCTTAAAAGGTTAAATGCAAGGCATAAATGTCGAGGATTTGAATCTATTCACAAATATTTTCTAAAAAAGTGGGGGGAAAATACAAGAGAATTTATAATTCATCTTATAATAACATTAATTGTTGAAAACTGTGTTATGCCGTACATTGAGACCAGAGCAAACCCTTTTATGTCACTGTCTGTATTGACTTTCTTGTTGCTAGTTCGAGTCTTAACAATTTAGGATTTTTTTTTTTTTTTCAAAAAAATATAAATATGCTCATATTCATTCATCAATCTGTCAAGGATTTGAATTCTAAGTAAGCATTAGAAGCATAAGCTTTCATGTTATAAATAAAAACAATTTAAGAATGACCACTTTGGTAGCTAAAGACTACTTCAGGATGAGAGATGTGGAATTAAAAAAAAAACGATACACTACTTAGCGAAAATAGAAAAAAGGATAGTTATAAGGTGAGTCGTAAGACATGAAGGTTGTGTTATGGGAGCTTAAACTGTGTGGTGCAGGAGCTTGGGTTTACTTGAGGATGTGCCTTGACATTGTTTTTCTTTTTCCTCTTTGTACCTTTTTGTTTTTTCCCGAAATTTATTGGTGTATCTATATGCATGAGCCTTCAAATATTTTTAAACCAATATTTACAAGGAAAACTTTAAACTCAAGAAAAAACTGTTCATAGATCACCATGATTTTGTTGAGGGGTATATAAATGTAGACTACCAAGAGCTGTAGCCTAGTGGTACATCCATACCTTCCTAAGTACAAGGTTGAGGATTTAATCCCCATAGGGGCAAAGTGGGTGTGTGAGTTTCAAATAGGAAAAATATACATATATTATTTTTTGAATAATCTGCATGTATTGAAAACGGGTCTAACATAAGAATAAGGCCGATATACTTGTGAAAATATAAATAAAAAGGAAGAGAATTCTGTGCTAATCCTATCCCCTATCCAGTTATTTTAAAATATTCCATTTCTCAATGAGGATTGTTTTCCACACCTTGAACTGGCTCTCTTGGTTTCAATGTCTTTTCATGTTAATGATACATTACACTTGATTTTGATATGTATTGGTTAGGATCCTCATAGTTGACTAGCTGAATTGAATTTGAATGATGGCAGTAGGTTGTTGAATTTAATCATGGTAATTTACGTGATGTACAAATTCGTAAAGAAACAACTGGCGGTTTCTTTTATGGAACTTGACTCAGAGAAATGTCTACATCACTGCCAAGCTTTTGCTCGAGTGTTGTATCCTCCACCTCTTGAAGAGAAGGTTGAGGATTAAAGTCCCAAAAGGGACAAATTGGGTATGACTAGATTAGCAACTAACCAAGGGAGAAAATGGTAAATAAGCATAACAGTACTTGTTTGGAATAGCCTTAATGGACGTGAATTATTTCTTTATGAGGTTCAGCAGTAAACATGGACATTTTTAGGTTTGTAGATTTCCTTGAGCGATGATCTTATCCTTTTGAATTTTATTGTTCCATCAACATCTCATGTATACCTGTTTGAAGGAAATGGATATGAGAATCAAAGTTAAATTCAGAGTTTGACTGGGGAGGTAAGGAATAATGGAACATATTAATTTGTAGACTTAAGATTCATTTGGAGAAGAAAAAACTTGAACAGAAGCTATTGTTGCTGGCGTAGTTGTATTTTCAGTACATGTTATAATAGGCCTGTAATATGCATGAACATTTTGAGAGGATTGTGTTTCTAGATTTCCCTAGCTGTGATCTTACTCCTTTGAACTTAACTCTTTTTCATGGCATTTGTTGTAGACCCTAAATGGAAATGAGTATGCAAAATGAAATTAATTTATTAAATTTTGGTAGCTAAATGTATGACTTGAAAGGTGGGATTTTCGTAGATATATGTCCTTTTGACTTGGGACTCATCTGGAAAAGGAAGGACGTCAATGGCAACTGTTGTTGCCTGTATAGTTATTAGTGTCTTATGAGTTATGATACATGTCAATAGGCATACTTCACATGTGTTTTAGAGGTGAATCAATGATTCAATACCTATTGTCAATCTTTAAATGTATCTTGTAATGCACTATATGATACACAGATCCATGATGAGATGGTATTTGATGATTTTTTCGCATGTAATAAATTTTTCCTTGAAGAATATCATCACACTTCACCATAATTACATTAAGATCAAAGAAAATATTTTAGTTTATCTTTCTTTGGGCTCCTTCAAAAAATTCACACATTAAAATATTTAGAACCTAATTCCATTTGTTTTTGCCCTCTACATGAGGGGGATCCTCAGCTTCTTGTACATAATGTATAGTTTGTCTTTTTACTTCTGAGTTAGAACATGGCATCTGAATAATATGGTGACTTGTCTGTATAGGAACAAGAAGATGTTAATTGCAGAAATTTTCAACAATATTTTACATTATTTTTTCCCCCTTTCAGTTGATGCATATATAATGTTTTGATTTTATCCTATTGTAGAAATTTATCCACACTTTGTCAATTAATATAGTGGCATACATTGTCATGTTTCACAAATGTGCCTTACCAATACCCTAATTTATTATACTAGATCTCAAGATATGAATGTTTTATAGTTACCTGTTCATGTGACTGTAGATTACTCCTGAATTCTGAATATCTCTTGACTCTTGTTAAATGTTTTTTCCTGTTACATTATTTTTCTAAATTTATTTTGTAAATCAAATCTTTCTTATGATATGTGAGACAATGTGATAGATAATGCAGAAAAAATAGTGTTTAATATGCGATTGATACCCATTTTGACAACTATGGTTGCTGGTGTTTTGAGGGACAATAATGAACTTATATAATTTGTTTCATTTCGTATGAAGACAAAACCTAGTACTTGTACAGTTGTTGTATTATAATTGTACAATATATAAGATAATGAGAACGATGAACTGGTATTCCTATCCATCTTCAGGCTTTCATAAATTATATGAACTTTTTGAAAAGGATGATGTGGCATTAGAGGATGAGAAAAATGAGATAACCTTGGGTCAGTAAGAAATATGTGCTTGCTGAATTTGAACTGAATATGTTTGGTCAACTTATTGAAGACTGGATTACTAGCATAGCACTTAAAAAAGCACACTTACCTCACAATGAAAAGTTTAAGCCTAAGTTTGGTAAGAGGGAAGGAAGGAGCAGGGAGGGATGAGAGGACATGGAGAAAGCTTCTATTGTTTGGTAGAAGAGAGAAGGATTAGAGGAGGGATGAGGCATTCCCCCGGATCCAACATTTTGCTTCCATTCAAAGTGGGTGGACGAGGAGCGAGAGAGAGAATGAAATTCGTTAATTAGAATTGAGAATTTGAGACCAAGTATCTAACCTCATTTAAATGTAAATTTATATATTCAAGGGTCTATTAGAGCCGACCTCAAGTAGTTGGAAAAAGGCTTCTGGAGTTGAGTAGTTAATTGTCTATTATTTGTCTCTTTCCTTCCCTTCCACCCAAGCAAACAAAAGGAGGAATAGACACTCTACCTTCTCTAAGGATGCCTTACCAATCCCTCCTACTAAACAAAGCACGAGTGTGTAAACCGTAACCCTTGAGTTTGCAAGAAGACACCAAAAACAACAAACTCTATGGGGTAAGTTTCCGAGGTGACACTCTTAAACTAGAACAAGATCTAGTATCTTCTATTATCTTGTTAGAAAGAGTCCCTTGAAATGCACAAGGCAAAGTTATGTGATAATAATTAGTATCATTACTGGCTCTATCATTATTAGAATAGCTGTCGAGTCGAGTGATGTAATATTTAACACACTAAGGTAAGAAGCCAGGCTATATCACTCGAGAATCAACCAATCGGATTATTTAAATGCTTCTACCCTACTTTTTCCACTTCTCTCTTTCCAACAGTCCCTCCACCACCCCCATTAGACTCAAAACAACTTTTAGAACTACACATCTAACCTCAAAAAACAGAAGATATATTTTTTTAATAAGTAATATTTCATTGAAAAGTGCTAAGAAAGGGGAGCGCACCCCAAATACAACTTCACAAGAAACAAAACCTACTATAAGTGTATCCACAAAAGACAAGATATCCGCCGATTTACGATTCCACCCATGAACCCCAAAAGAATAAAGAACTAAAAACAGAGAATTTTAACCATCCCAATACTCTGAAATTGTCATACAGTCATAAAGGGGTAAGTGTATGAAACTCTCATACTGTCACAAAATCATGTAAATACCAAACTCATTTTAAGTGAAAAATCCAAATTATTATTATTCTTAAACTTCTTTATATATTTAATAAATAATGTACTGTATGTACATTTAGACTCATAAACGTAGTGAAAACTGAAAACTTTAAATTAGTAGGTTTGAACTACACATGGCTGCTTAAAATGCAATGTATTATTAAAACTCATATTAAATCACCTTTAAAGCATCAACAAAATCAAGGCCATGGTGTGTGAAGTCGAAAAAAATTCACAATCATGGTTTCCGATATCGTTATGTAACGCCATCAAGAGCCACGTTCGTTACACTATGGCCGCTTAAGCATATGTGGTCGCGTCCACATTTTAAAACCTTGACTGTAGCTGCAGAAATAAATCATATGTCAGATATTCCAATCCAGTTGCTTGATCGCAAAGAAAGGTAAAAACGATTACACTAACGCAATAAAGATTACAGTTATGAGAAATTATGTTAAAACTTTGGTGGCATATTGGCAACCATAGATGCTGCTGTATTGAAGTTTTTGGTTAATCATGTATGGAGAGCAAACTACAACTATAAATAAGGATTGAAGTTTTTGGCAGTAAGGAGGCTAGGCATCACTGAATGTAACCAAGTGGGGAACAAATGATTATCATAAGTGATTGTCCTGTGGGATGGTCATTGTGAAGAAAGTTAAAATGCTTATTTGATAAAACTTGGTCGGTAACAGTGACCAACATCAAATGTTTATATATTTGTGACAATGACAGACTCATATCTAAGCAAATCTATATAAGATGATTTTCCAAATATCATAATTTACAGGGTCGAATTGATGTTGTAGAGGATTAAAATTATGTACCTCAAATGATTGCCGTCTCTAAGTTATGCAGAACCATTCTATTCCCAACAATCTTCTTTGATCTAGCCCTTTAATCCGAGTGTTATTACTACACAATCCTAGTTGACAATACAAATTCAAGATGCAGGCAGATTCTATTCTTAATTGGTTCTCGGTTATTATTATTATTTTTTTGGACAAGTTGGTTCTCAGTTATTGTTTTGCTGGTAGATTTTGTAAACGGTTTAACTATCTTTAATAAATCATTCTATGAAATTGTGGATCTAGTTTTAATGTCTGAGACTTCTTCCACTGACATTTCCATCTGGACATCAGATCTCATACTGAAAGAGTGCGATATTGGGTTCAACTTCTAGCTTTCATTTTAGTTTGCCACTTTGTTCCAACTCTGTTCCACCAACTTGGAGTATGAGATAAATTTGTTGGTCAGCTACAAGTTCTTTCAAGCTCGTCATCAATGAATAATGACTCAAAAGGGACTTAGTACCTAGCGAAAGAGGGAGATGGAAAACTATCAAATACAGACTTTTACACTAAATTTTGTTTTTCCAAATACTTGCATCTTGTAGTTTTCTTCTTCTAGATTTCCTAGAGATGTTCGTCTAGCTAGGTGTGCCTAACAATTTAAGAAAAATTCCAACACTTTATAACCAAGTATGAATATACCTCTTTTCTTCAGTCGGTCAATCTTGCATTAGAAACTACCACCTAAGGTTGTAGCCTAGTGGTATCTCATCTACCTCCCAAAGGGGCTGGCGAGGGTTCAGAGTCCCCAGGAGGGACAAATGGGGGTGTGAGTTTCTTAAAAAAAAAAAATCTTGCATTAGAAATTGAAAAGGATCGCCATTAATAGAATACCAGTAAAGGGCTAGCCCGGTGCACAAGACTCCTGCCAGTTTGGGGTAGGGTAATGGGGACTGGGGAGGGTCAAACGTACACAACCTTACCTCCGCATGCGGAGAGGCTATTTGAAAGGCAGCCTATTTTGTAACCAGGGCGGCACTGCCTGACTGAAAGCCACCTATTTTTTAACATCCTCTGCATTTATATTTGGATTGCATTCTGAGCTGATGAAATTTTAGTATTTTTTTTTCTTTCATGCGACTGTTTAGTATTAATGATGAGTTGAAGTTTCTACTTCATTTTGTGGTTTCTGTGTGTTCATTTTTGAATTGAAGAATTGGGTTAGTAGTTTCTTTGTAAAATGCTTTGCACTCTTCACCAAAATACTAGTGCTGCAGATTCAGACGGATGCTTACTACTTGGTTGTTTTTGCTTGATGGAAATTCTTTATTGTTGGTTCCTTTTATCATAAACTTCTCTTAAAAAGCATAATGATCAAACTTACATACTTGTCTTCTTACACGTACATTGAGTGATTACTCAACTGATGGTTACATTATTATTAATAAAAAAGGGCTTGTCTTAAGAGCACCCATCCACTGATGTACATGTAATTTTGATTTTTAAGGATCGAGCAAATGAGATATATAAAAAGGTTGAAGATCAAAAACCTCTTAGAGGACGAAATCAGGAAGCAATTTTGGCTGCTTGCCTCTATATTGCTTGTCGACAAGAGGACAAACCCCGCACTGTAAAAGGTATCGTGCACATTATATAATATTACTTATTTTGAAAAAAAAAAAAACGAAGTAGAAAAGAAAACTATACAATTTGTTTCTCTGTGATCTATTATTCTCTTTTGTGTGTTTTGATTCCCTAAACATTTGGATCTCAACTAGAAATATGCTCCATTGCCAATGGAGCCACAAAAAAGGAGATCGGCCGTGCAAAAGAGTTCATTGTGAAGCAACTGGAAGTGGAGATGGGTCAGTCCATGGAAATGGGAACTATTCATGCTGGGGACTTCTTGGTGAGTTTATCAATAATTATATAATTTCTGTCTCTGTTGTATGTGTTTATTGTTGAGTGTTTCTTTCTGGATATTCGTGTGTTTCAATTGACGTTATTTCATCATAAATTTGTAGAGACGCTTTTGTTCCCATCTGGGCATGACAAATCAAGCAGTTAAGGCAGCCCAAGAAGCTGTGCAAAAATCTGAAGAGCTTGATATAAGGTGGTTCTGGTTTCTCTTGCACTTATTTATTTCAGAAGAGATTTTAGTCTGTTCTTTCGTGTTTAATTTAAATTTTTAACATTTGTGAAAAGATGAGAGGAAATTTTTGTGCTGAATAGTTTCCACAATTTCTCAGAGAATAAGATGGTTATCATCAGTTCTGTCAATTTCTGTTGTATTGCATGCTACTTTATTAGCATGCACCCGTTTAGTACCAGGCCACCTTGTCATAGTTTTTAATTATTTACACAACAATAAATGAGAAGGTAGCTTCCATGAACGGATCTGGCTATACTTTGTTTTGCAAATTAGAACTTTGACTAAAGAGAATGCAGGGGACCTAGTAATTAATAATGGAGGGAAAGAATAAGATATACCTTAGAAAATAATATGAAATCAATTGTTATATATCTTGAAGTTGAGTGCATCTTTTTGGATTGAGTGAATGAGCTCATCTTTTTTGAAATAAAGTACTACAATTTTATGGTTTTTAATATTATTACGTAAAGAAGGGAGCTGAAAATTGTGCATATTCTGTACTATATCTGATGAGTTATCCGTTTTGTCTTCTTTTTTTTCCCTGATGCTTCTTTCAGGAGAAGCCCAATTTCCGTGGCAGCAGCTGTTATATACATTGTAACTCAATTGTCTGATGACAAAAAGCTTCTCAAAGGTTAGAAAAATGTCGCCATATGTAATTACTATCTTTATGGAGATAATTCTAAAGCCGTATGCGTGCAGATATTTCGCTTGCTACCGGAGTCGCTGAAGGGACAATAAGGAACTCTTATAAGGATCTCCACCCTTATGCTTCAAGGCTGATACCGAGCTGGTATGCTAAGGAAGAAGACCTCAGGAACCTCTGCAGCCCTTGAAATTCTGGTCGTGGCGGCTACTATTGCAGCCTTTAGATTTTTGTTGCTGCTTCTGTTACTTAAAGACGCTAAAGAACTATTGCTCCTTTTTCTTTCATGTTTCTCAATGCACTTCCTTACAAGTAAATATGTCAGCTTATAACTTAAACTAATCTGCTTCTGAGTCATATCTGTAGTGTCATTCGGGACTAGCTGCAGGCATTAACAGCATCTTTGTATACACTGCCAAGGCTAAATACTGATGTTATAAGTTGTTATTAATGTCTTAAGAGAGTTCCCTTTGTAGCACAAGTTTAATCTTGTGGTCATTCAGTACTTGGCAAGCATTAGACAGCATCTCTCATGTACAATGGCAAGGCTGACATTGATGTTACAAAGTTCTTATATGTATGTGTGTGTGTGTGTGTGTGTGTGTCTGTGTATTGTCGCACCTTTTTAATTCAAGTCGCCATTCTTTATACAACTTTTAAAATAATAATACAGAAAATAAAAAAATGAGAGCATACAATTCAAGTCGCACCTTTTTAATTCAAGTCGCCATTCTTTATACAACTGAAGAAAGAGAAATGAGTTCTAACATCATGTACTCTAATAGGGCCTCCAAAAGAAATTAGTAAGTCACTTAAGCTGTCCTGTACTCTTGTGGATTCAAATACGAACTCGATAAGAAAAAGGCTTCAAAACACTTTGCGGACCAATAACCCACCAGCAATGAACTAGTACAAATGCTATGAATAACCAATGCCAGATTCTGATAGTGAGATGCAAAAAAAATGTGTTGTGTGCATACAAACATGTTGATCTACATATATTCTAGTGCACATCGAATGGTATCATTATCAGTAAAAGATAGGATCAGCAAAATTTAATCATCATAGACCGTCGAAAGATAAAATTGATGCAACTTCAAGGGTGCTAAGCCTGCATATGAAGAGTAACAATTCCATTATATAGAGGCGTACATCGATGCATATCTGTTTCCGCATCAATGTTCAATCTGCCTCAACCTCTTAAGCTTAAGCCCATTCCAGCCCCTGCCTTTGAAGCAAAACTCAGGGTCGTTCTTTGACTTACTACCCACGAGGAAAGCAGCAAGACCTCTAAACAGGGAATATAGTGCTTGTGCGAAGAGGAAGAGATTTTGAAGGAAAATGCTCGTTCATTTCCCCGACTGTCACTTCACCCGCTCTCGTTCGGTAGTGCTTTCTTCACGATAGGATCAGCTCAAAAGGAAAGGTAGGTCCTTTCAACTAGTGTCTGAGAAAGGGCTAGCTAAAGGATGAAAATCAAGGCTCAGAGGAAGAAAGTCAGCTTTATTGGCAGAGGTGCTAGCGCTGGTTGATTAGGGTGGTTTGCTGCTTCTATCCTTGGACTGTTTGCCAGACCTGGAGATAAGAACGAATGAAGAACCTACTTTTCAATGCAAAAAAGAGCGATTTTCATTGAATGAAGATTTGCTAAATAGATCGTAGGGATCACAGGAGAACTATCTAATGAACCCGAAGCGCAGGGAAGGGGGACAACCCCAGGAAGACGACTAACACAAACAAGACGACTCTAAACAAGTCAAGCACAAAAAGAGAGAGTTGAGATTCTACAAAGAAAGATCAGGGATTTCATTGCCGGAGATCACCATGCACTTCCAAGGACTTAAGATGAAAAGGGAAGACTAGTTGATGCTGAATAAGGAAGACGCATACTAGGTCTGTCTACACCATGGGTAAACATTTACTATGGCCAAAAGCCAACATCGATTGTTCTTATAAGACTTCTCATCAGAAATTATTTCCTAAAACTCAAGTATTCACTCATTCACATAGATAAAAAGACGAGGATGATGGTACATGAATGTATATATTATCCTAGGAATAAAAATCAATAAAAAGAGAGTGCATAGATCTCTTTGGTTGGGTGTGAGGGAGGAATGATCAAGCAGCTCCTTGAGGAAAAATAAGGGTTTTCAACGAATTTTTTCCGTAATGTGCAACCGTATATCATCCAACAGTCTACCAACGATAAACCCAGTATCAACAAAAATGTGTCAACAATAAATATGGCGGGATTAATTATGAAGGATGTCAATAATTTAACCAAGTTACTTTTCTGGCGAAACATTCTCCTCTTGCAAATATTAGTTCAACTTACATTTGGAAGTTACAGCACTACAATAGATCGAACTATAATCAAGATTGGGAACAATCTTACCATGCAGGAAAGAAATCCTAGATCTAGTTCAAAACGGAACAATAAAGAGAGTAACTTTAAGGCACCTTTTTGCTGTAAGCGGACTTTTATCCACTTTGCCATCAGATGATTCCAGAACACAAAGTTAAAAGTTCAGTCGAGCCAAAACCATGCAGTAGGGCAAGTAGCATTCAACTGTTTCCTCTTCTTGGTTTCAGTTTCAGAATTCTCCTAGAATGATCTCTTGGTGCAACTTCAGGCCAAACCAAAAGAAAAGCTTCAATAAGTAGGCACTGGTACCTGCACAAGAACAACAGTAAAACAACAAAATGCATTGAAACAAAATTACGACACCCTTCCAGACATCTATACAGATAATGTTTCATAAATTATCTTTAAAATTTGTCCCGTAAGGGAGCAATCGAACTCAACTCAACTAAGTCTTTCCCCAACTATTTGGGGAGCAATTGAACATTCATTAAAATTAAATCATTCTAGTTTTCCCCTGTAACAGCTGAGGCACATATCAATCTCTTGTAGTGGAGAACTCAAAAAACAAAATGGAGTAATCTTCAGATGTGAGAACAGAAAATGTGCAAAATCTGCCATTTCACAAAATCATAACAATTCCTGGATATCATAGAAAACAAACTTGGTAGAAATACTTGATTCAATTAAAAAAAAAAAAAAACCTTCTAAAAACTATTTGGAATCGGGTGGTTTGTTAAATTAATCTCTCATGCATTGCAACATACAACCCAAGTGAGCTTGAGAAACTACTGGACACTTTTCAAAACTGGTCTTCCATGACTCCAACTAGGAGTAGCACTCCAGAATCAAAAAATAAGACCTTTTTTTTTTTTTTTTTTTTTGATAAGTAAATCAAAAAATAAGACTTTGACCAGTAAAACCAATCTACAAAGAAGAACAAGAGGAAGAAGGGGGGAGAAAGAGAGAGATCTTGACACCTAATAACACAGTGACCAGAACCAGACCCATTCCGATGTTAGAGCGAAGCGGATCCATTCCAGGTAGACTCAGCTGACCACTCCTGGTGAAGTGTTTATATTTTTAAATAAACATCAATTTACTTGAATGCGGGCATGGTGGCTGAGATCTGTGATTTTCCAGGTTGACTCAGCTGACCACTCCTGGAGACATTTACATTTTTAAATAAACATCACTTTACTTGAATGTGGGCATAGTGGCTGAGTTCTTCGCTTTATTTAAGAGGTCATCAGTTCAACACTGTGTAATTTTTGTATGCAATCTTGGAAAAAAAAATATGTATCCCCTAATACAAAGTTAACTTTCCTTCTCTCTTTTCTTTTTTTTCCCCTCTTTTTTTTCCCTCGTGGACAAACTAAACAATGTCCACTTCTTTTATGTAAAACAAGACTGGTAGACTGGATGGCCTACTACAAAGTTAACTTTGTATCCCCTAATACAATGTTAACTTTCCTTCTTTATTTTCCTTTCCCTCTTTTTTTCCCTCGTGGACAAACTGAACAATGTCCACTTCTTTTATGCAAAACAAGACTGGCAGACCGGATGGCCAACCTAGTAAGCAAAACTAAACCAACAGCTTCTACGCTATTATACAAGGAGGCTCATTTTTCGTTTTACAAACATTCTTCAGTAATACATTTGTAACTTCCTTTTTGGTGTTATCTACACTCTTCCTTGTATACCCAAAAAACCTCATTTGGAACAAGGTCAACATAAGAACTTAATACAACAACATTTTCCGCCTTATCTACTCTATTCATAAGAGTTAGGCGACCCATAAGCAACAATTTCTCTGAAACTATACTAGTAACTAGAAGAACAAAAGGAAGAAGTGGAAAAGGATGGAACAAGCTAAGAAGAATGTGAATAACGGGAGGAGGTCGTCACAAAAGAGAGCAAAAAAGCTAAGAAGCATGCTGCTTAAAACATGCTTAAACTTAAAACATGCTTAAACTTAATTCCAAGACTCACAAGTGCACCTTGCCTTAAAATAAAACGGTCTTATACCTTGTTCTTAGGCATCTTATGGAGTTCATCCCGTCTATGTTTACTTTACATAGTTCATCTTCTAAGAAGGTGAATTTTGAGATCAGTCCGTGGATTGGGGCCGTTCAGGGGGAATTCCTGCAATTCTACGGCTTACCATTTTAAAAGCATGGATACCAATTTAGTTTTGACTTTTGGCCAAATATGTAGGTATGTCCTTCACTAAGAATGAAACACTGTTATGAGACTGAGTTTCAAATTAGATATTCATGTTAATTACATATTTAACCTTGATGAGATATTTATAATTTTAATATATACAGATATCATTTATCAGCAAGAGTTGAACCAAGCTCGGGATATAGCCAACAAAATTCTTCCTTTTTTTTTCCCAGGGTAGGCAAGCGCGCACACAACCACTATGCCCCAACAGAAACTTGAAAAAATATAAAATAAAGTTTCTTTTTCTTCTGTTTTTTTTTTTTTTTTTCATTCTCATTTACATATATTTCAGAAGCACCACATGAACCTTTATATATAATTATACATGTATTCCCATATATATGCAGATGTGCATTGACACTCTGCAAATGCTCTGGACCATAAGATATTCAATAATTGCCATCCTGCCCTCTCTCACTAGCTCTTGGACTCACTATCACTCTGTCCTTTAGCATCCCAGGCCCCTTTTTGTAATGCTGTATACCATGACATAAATAGGTCATCCCCAAAAGAAAGTACCAAACATTTGCAGACATAATTATCCAAATAGTTCCTAGACATTACACAACTCAGTACAGTTGATATGAATATAAAACGGAGCAATTCAAATTCTATGAAACAAAAAAGTAGTAATATCATTTCCAAAACGCCCCAACTCTAAAAATTGTATGTTTCATTAATTGTATCTTTAAATTTATCATTTTCTAAGATTAACAGAAAAATTGCAGAAAGATCTTTTTCATGCATCAATTGTGAAACTTTCACATGATTGAATCAACCAACTATGCAAGGACAAGTATTTTTTTTTTTTTTTTTCCCCACCAAGAAAAAGGACATACATGACTTGCGAAGATATAATTGCTGGCAAAAATGAGCTAACTTGCATCAATGTTGGAGGATGCCCTCTTTTTTCTCTTGTGCTTAGGCTTCACGGCATCTTTCAAACTCTTTTGCCCAGTTGTTTGCATTTCAATTCCAGCTGCCTCGTTTTGCGATGGAACTGGAGCAATATCCGCAGAAGGTTGATCTGCTTCAGTTTCACAGAGTTTGTTAAGTCTTGATTCTTCCACCTTCTTATTGGGTGTTAATGCTCCTGCAAGTAATAATGTAACACAATAATTTCTCTGCCAAAACACACGTTTGCCAGTAGAAAATGTCTAGAATATCTAGATGCAAAAATATGCACACAATATACGTACCTAAAACTAAATATGACAACTGTCTCTGAAAGCATATAAAAACATCTGACAACCCCTAACCAAGAATTCACTACCTTGCATGGTTTTTCCTTTTTCTTTTTTCTTTAATATTTTATGCCCATAGAATATGGACAATACTATTTTTTTTTTGCTAAGTACAGGATTCACATTTGGATTCCACTGTTCCAGCACCTTCATGATCCGAACTCTTTCCTTTGACAAGCTTCTCCATTATTCACATACCACAACGTAAATGAAATACCAAATACTCCTGCCACAATGCAAACACACATAGGTGCAAGCGATAGAAAAGTAAGTGATTGAATAATTTCATGCTTGAGGCATGGACCATTAGATTCATGGACCTTGAAAGTTGAAACTAATTTAAATCTAGTGAGAACTAAATTTTTTAATACCAACCAAAAGTAGTGGGTATTCAATTATTCCTAAAAAATGCTAAAAATTTCGTTTGACTCTAATAGCAGCCATGTTGTGCAAAATAATGTCAAAGGTTAATTCTATCTCTAGTCTTTTTCTTTCAACACACACACAGACAAGACTAACACCGACTAATGGCATTATTTGAAATGCTAAAATTAAATATTACATAACCTTTTGAACTTCAACTATGCGAATTAAACAAGGCTCGAGTTTTGTCTTGGAGTTGAGTTTTGGTCCTCCGGGAGGAGAAAGAATTTTTAGATGTAAAAGATGAAAAAACACTACTTTAGATAATTTGATGGTAGATCTTTATACTAAATAAAAATTATTTTACTGCATGACCCATCTAGCAGGCCTTTTCCCCCTTAGTCCTGTAACTTATTTCAACAATCCATTATTTTATGATATGTTATTTTGTAAAATAAACATGCTAAAAGGTACAAGTGACCAAACAGCATAATCATAAGGACCAAAAGAAAAACCCAGGACTGTGGTTAACAACTCCAACCCATGGTTGGGAATGTAGTCTTGGGAATGGGGCATCTCTTCAACCCGGGTAGGTTCTCTTAACCTTCTGCCTAATTGAACAAAACTTAAAACCACAAATGAAAAGCCATAGCATTACCAAGACAATCAGGAATACACCAGGACTCCAATCACTAATGGTAACAGAACAATCCTATAGTCTCCAACACTACCATCATCATCACCACCACATTGACCATCTCTGCCAACACCACCACAACACCAAAAAACCAAAGGAAAAGGTTAATCTCTTCTCCCCCCAACCATAAAATTCATCACTGCGATGAGCCTCACTACCAACATGGTGGATATAACCTCCATAGCTATAACTACTCCAATGCTGCTATTACATCCACCACCATCTACTAGCAACCTCCAAGATAGAAAAACCAAACCAACCCTAGTTTCCATATTGTGCCATCACCACTACAGCACAGCCACGACCACAAACACAACCTCAACCGCCCTTCACCATTATTGACACCATACCCGTTCATGCTCTTCCACCCTTGTAGTCTATGAAGCATGGATGCGCCTAAATATTCCATCTTAACAATTCAAATTCTAAGCATGGACATGACAGACGTGTCGGATTTTAAAACAATTGGGCCATTCAATTTGAAGACGCGATAGACATGCATGGCCATGGCAAGGGCAATTTTATAAGGTTTCAAAAAATAAGTAGGTCAAATTGTAACGACCCCCACCCTATCCAGACACAATATTGTCTGTTTTTTACTCCCCCGGACCAGAGACTTCCCAGGGGTCACCCATCCTGGTGCTACTCCAAGTTAAGGACACTTAACTCCGGAGTTCTGGTAGGTTCACGGCCATCACGGCTTTAAAACGCGTTGTGTCATAAAAGGGCATTGAATCTACATATAGCACTTGCCGTTTTCCACACCCAGACGATGTGGGATTGTGCACGTAGCTCGCCCAGTGTGGTAGCCTGCTGGTGCCACCTGCACACGTTCACACACATCCACCCACAAGGTCACTACAATCTGTGGCGACCTTGTGGGCAGGTGCAAAGGACTGACAGGCTACCACACTGGGCGATTTATATGTGCACAATCCCACATTGTCTGCGTGTGGAAAGGGAAAATGCTATATACGTAGGTGTGTCACTCCAATTGGTACGAGGCCTTTTGAGGTAAAGCCCAAAAGCAAAACCATGCGGTCTCAGGCCCAAAAGCGGACAATATTGTGTTTGGCTAAGGTGAGCGTCATTACAAGTGGTATCAGAGCCTGACCCAGCCGGAAGTGTAGCCAACGAGGGCACTGGCCCCAAGGAGTGGTGATTGCGGCGACCTTGTGGGCGGGTGCGAGGCACTGGCAGGCTATCACACTGGGCAAGCTACAGATGCACAATCCCACATCGCCTGGGTGTGGAAAGGAGAGATGTTATATATGTAAGTGTGTCACTCCAATTGGTATGAAGCCTTTTGGGGTAAAGCTCAAAGAGCAAAACCGTGCGGGCTCAGGTCCAAAGCGGACAACATCATACCATGTGATGGAGTAAGTGGTTACACAAATTATGAAACAAATGTTGGATTTTTTAAATGAAGAAAAAGAAGAAGACAAAGTGGCAGCCGTTTGACGGTTCACTCATTGACTGTTAAAGAGAGACAGGGAGAAAGGGAGAGCAAATGAAAGATGAGAAAGAGATAGGGGGAATGGAAGAAACAGAAAGAGGACGGCAGATGAAAAGGAAAAAGCACAGTCGCAAACACTTCTTGCGACCATTTCGAGTCAATTTCTGCAGGTCATAACCATCAACAGTGAGCCAAGATGTAATTCAACCATCTGCAGCAACATGAAATTTTTTATGTTTTGCAGTATTCATTCCTATTTTTTCCCTTTCCTCTTGCAATTTATGAAGGCTTTAAACTCATTATTTGTAATCCTAAACCTTAACACATTCAATTTAATTAAAATCATTATGGTTTTCTGCAATTTAGAGTTGTTTGAAATTACGGCCTTCTGGAAGTTGGAATAATTAGATCTATAAAATCATAATCGGGGCTTTTACAATTATAATTGGTAAGAGAGGCAATTGTGATTTCTTAAATTCTAAGAATGAAGACATTTTACAAAAGTTAAATACCACGTGCCGCAAGAGAAGCTTTCAATACATCATAATTGACGCCCTTCGAGTATGGGTCCCTGAAAGGAAAAAGAAAAATACTTCACAAAGGAAAAATTGAAAAAGACTTCAGAAAGAGGAGGGAGAGGAGAAAAACTATGGAAATTGAATGAGAAGGAAAAGGAAATTCATTTGACTCATGGGGATGTTTCAGTTTGTTTTACATTGCATTTACAAAAACAATTCCATTTTATTTTTCCTCATGTGTGAAATTCATTGGTGGCAGGGAATCATATATAGAATGAAATCACTAATTTCAACTTTTGACTCATCAATATAAGTTGGTTCCATTTTCTATAATGACACCTTTTCGGGACCATGCCTTTTCCACGGAAAAAAGACAAAATTCCCAAATCTTTCCATTTTCTATATAATATATATATATATTTTTAGTAAATCCATTTTCTATAGGTTGAACAGGTTATATGGTCTTCTCCCACATAAATAATTCAAATTCAAGATTGATTAGATCCGAGGAAGCTCCCAAAAACTATTTTGCAAAATGACACCATACCAGCTTGAGGGCCCACCAATGAAACTCGTAGCATCACCATCTCTTCTGTTAGTTCTATCTTGTTTAGATGACTGGGTTTCAACTTCCATATCATTGCTCTGACTGACACCATGTTCCTCTGATATTAACTTTAATCTCTCCATATGATGCCTTGGCAGATCGCTGACTCCCTTCTGATCAATAGATTGGCTTTCGGTCTGACGTAATTTAGCACCTGGTTCACTAACACCCAAAAAGGCAGAGGAGTGACGTTTGATCTTCCGAAGTGCCCTTTCAGTGTTGAAGGATTCCACCTGTAGAAATTCGTCACAGAGAGTTCAAGCGTAAAAGTAGATCCATCACTATCAAAAGCCACCGCTCTTTAACAGAAATAAACGCAATGACATTAGTGAAACCTCCTCTTTTCCAGTTCACAGATAAAATGAACTATTACAAAATACAAACGAAGAACTTTCTATGTTTCACATTCAAAAGTAGCCCTTATATGATTCTTAATGGGAAAAAGAAAACATGTTATATGGTTTAGAATGTACATTGTTAGCAAACATATTCAATACAGCAACATCGGTGGATCTCATAGGTTGCAATTTTAGAAGTAGGTATAAGTGGTTTCGTTGCACTTGTTGATGTTTCATGTATTGCATTCAGAAATGTAGGATTAGTAGATAAAAGTTAATGTACAAAACTACAGCTGTGCAATATCCAAACTTGAGATAGCCTTGCCCTAGCCATTTGAGGGAGCTAAACGTTTACTATAACATGATGCTACATTCCAAGGACCAAAATTGCTAAAGAAAAAACAGAAGTATATTCTATAAGTTCAACATTTAGATTAAAAAAATTATTCTGACCAAATCCTCTTCAGGATGACAGAAATATCAAAAATTTATAAACATGGTCCAAAAGGATTGATTCTGGTAATCGACCACAAAGGTGAAGTAACCAAATTTTTTTTGCACTGGCCTCAAGCTTGCTCTAACCCCTAACAGAATCACACTTAATCTTGTCTTACTTTAGTTTAGAAAGATGAGCATGAAACATTTCCTTGAAGAAAAAGAATTACGGAGTATTGAAAATATGAGGGATGCTAGTGACACTCATCACTGTTGCCCCTCACCCATTGGATACCGGATAGTGGGTCTCACAGGTAAGGCCCACTCAACCAACACATGACAGCCACAATTTGTCAGTCACGACTATCGCTAGCATCTCTCTAGAATATATAAATACTGACAAGAGAGCTGAGGCCATCTAGCAGAAGCAAAGGCACAGGCAGGAAACAAATGGTCTCAGTTCATGCGATTCAGATTTTACATTATTAGAGTGCCATAATATATGGTAGACTCTGGAGATTTCTACCCCAACCTCTTGGCCCAATGTGCAACTAAACAGTAAAAGACGGAATCTAACAGTCAAATTTTTAACACATTATATTGTTATTGTTATGACAAATGCCGCAAACCAAGAACAAATCAAGAATCATGACAGAAAAATAAACACGCCACACAAGGAACACAAAGATTTACATGGTTCGGCAAAGCCTACATCCACGGTGAAGATCAGGCGAAAGAGATCACTAAGTGAAAAACAGGAGATTACAAGTTTCAGCCCCCCAAACCCTAGCTCTCTCTCTCTCTCTCTCTCTCTCTTCGATTTTCAATGGTCTCTCATTACCCACTCCAAACCCTAAACGTCCTTATATACTGGGATACAAGAGAATCCTAAACAGACCAGCAAATGAAAAAAAGGGTCAAAAATTCCCCAAAAAGGCCCCCTGGACCCTGTGGTGGGCCCACAGAAAGCCCATTTTTTGGGCCGAAACATAATTCGGGCCACAACATCACAGTTATAAATGGCACTCAAAACAACTGTTATCAATTTATTGCACCTAATGTGTGTGGCAATCATGATACATATAGGCACTTCTACCAATCATTAAATGGTGTCCAACATTTGTGAACATGGCACTGATTTAGATACTCCTTCCATCACAAAACAAACATCTCTCTTTCTTTTTAGGAAGTCCCAAAGAAATGTCCCGAAAATTGTCACTTCCCTAAAATACCCTCAGATTTTGAAAACTTATTTAAATTAACAATTTTAAGCTTACTTTGGAGGACAGGTAATGGAATCTCAAAAGCAGACATATTAGGGTCATTACATATATGTTTAGATTCATTAAAAAGACATTTTGAATCCATAAAAGTGTTTTTGATAAGAAAAAACTAAGTGAACAAAATCAGCTCATCAACCAATCGAAATTGTAATGGACTGATTTAATATGTTGGAACAGATTTTGATCCAAAAATAGTAAGCTTTGAGGGATAATTCAATCGCTTCAACATCACTCAAACCAAGTTAGTTTCGATCCATAAGTCAATCAATCGAACCTAGAGAGCATTTCGCTAGAAGGAACATGGCTTATAAATTTGTTGTGGGAACTCTCTAAAATCATTTTTTATTTGGTTTATTTTCCAATTTCATGTAGGAGACTCATATTGGCTATAAATATGGGGTTATAGTCATACTCTTTATACATTATGAAGAGAATATATATATTTATATATATTATAAGTACAAATTCCTAGAGAGTATATATAGAGATCAAATATTCATTTTTTTCTTGTTTTCTTTCTTTTTTTCCTTTTTTGAAAAGTAAGATTTTATAAAAGGTGCTCGAGAGGGGAGCGATCCCAAGAGAATACAAAAGGCACCAAAGGCGACCATCTATAATATAATTTTATTTTTTTTATTAGTAAATATTCATATTTTTCATAGTATTTGATGGTGAGTTATTATTCAAAGTGAAGATTATTAGCTTGTGGAACCTAAAACTCATCAACACCAAATCATACAAAGGACTAAAGAATTGGACACAACAAATCATGGGGATTTAAGTATGGACTGAAGAACATATCTATGAGGAGCGAGGTCATTGACTGGCAGCAGTAGAGTCTGAGTATTATCATCTGATGTGAGCCTAGGTCAGAGGTAACTAGGCAATTCTTGAGATTAGGATCTGGTAACATAGTGCTTTATACCTTTCTTTTGATAATAAATTTGAATCTTCCCAGACTAGGTCCCATGGTTTTTTTCCATTGGGCTTTTCCACATCAATCTGTTATGTTTATGTGTGACTGGTTGGTTATTTTATTTTTGCTCTTTATACTTGCATAATTGATATTGTTGCATTTTAAATAGAATTGTTAGAATTAAAAAATCAAGATCACTTCACTATAGATCTATTTTTGGCATAGTGTACTCTGAAGTATCAGAGTCTTGTCCAACAGTCGTAGTCTCAATTTGTGTCAAATATACGAGTTCTTCATGGTAGAAAAACAAGACAGTGAACTAATTCCTTTGGTTAATAACTGCTCTAAAATCAATTAATTCCTTCACCATTTTATTTTTATTAATTTTCCCTCATGCACATAACAATTCAAACCAAAGAAACATGCATATAGTTCATAAAAGAATACACAAAGAAAGACATGGGACTGAGTCCCTGTGTATAGATTTTTTAGAAGCTGCTGTGTCCATGTCAAAGCATGATCATGTCCAAGCCTAGAAATCATATATGGTGTACATAAATGTTAATGTATTATTACCTTATCGTCATTAGATTTTTGCGGATTATCATTCATAGGGGTAATCATCTCATCATGAGTGAGCACTAGTATCTAAAAGTTACAAGATTCTTTTTATCAAGTAGGATGGACAATAAAGACCATGCCCAGAAAAACAGACAACTAATATTTTAACATCAAGTGTGAAAATCATCATTTATCAAGATAACACGTAAGTAGAAAGCAGTTTTAACAGATACCAAAAGGCACCTCAGGATCTACAAAACGATTTCATAGAGAAACTCACAGCATTTTTTATCTTGCTTGTTATATCAGCAGCCTTTACTGAAGCAATTCGCAAACACTGCATAATAACACTCTGCATGACACCTGCTCCTCCAGCTTTCTGAATAGCACAAACTTCACCATTTGAATTAAGCGTAGCAGTCATTCTCCCCCCCATGATAGCCTCTTCAAAGTGCGTTGGATCTATCACCTGGGTAGCGCAAATCACATTAGAATGGAAACCTGACATTAGGAACTGAATCCTGGATACGTGTTTCTTATTGATTATGAAGAACAAAGTATTTTAGGACCTAGTTTGCCTACCACAATGTTCTCATCACTGATAAATGCAAAAGTGACTGCAATAGGGAGATGATGTATTATCAAAGGAAGCGGCTCCCTAACCTGTCAAAATGCAACATTTCATAAGCAACTAAAGAGATCATATTTTCTGGTGGTTAAGTAATACCAAGTAAAAGAAAGATGTGTTGTAACGGCAAAAGAACAATTTAATAGCCCAATGGGACATACATCCTCTGGATTACTAGATTACAAAATTTAGTAACCAATCACAGCATGCCATGAATTATAGACTGCAAGAGCATGCAACCACAGAATTAAAAAAATAATTTGTATGGGGACATTCTTATTTTTCCAAAAAGAAAAAGAATAATAATAAAAATATATCGCAAGACTATAAGCAGGACTTGTGTTTTTTCCAGCTAAGGAAATTTGCTGTGGTGGAAACATTCAAGTATGGGCCTAACATCACAACATTCATTTGCATGTTTATAATTTAGAAACTAACAAGTCAGATTACATGTTAACTGCATCTAGAAAATTCTATAATTTATTTCCCAAAAAAAGAAATGAGTAAAGGAGCTGACCTCATGTGGATGTACTATCACTTCCTGACCATCTTCTCCACCTAGTGTACATTCAGGCCTCCGGAATGTCAAAAGAGCAGCCAAAGCAGCAATATTGGCAGCATCAACAAGATTTCTGTTTTCACAGATGAAGAAGAGGAAAATATTTTACTTATCAAAAAAAAAAAAAAAAATGGAAGAAGATAAAATATTTTCTGAAAAAAATAGCTGAAGAAACAAAGAAATTTTACCAGGACTTAATTGGATACACATCACCACTTACCCCCCATTGTCAATAATATGGAGATCAATACGAATTGACCATACTAACTTCCCAGCTACAACACAAAGTGATTCCGTGTCTACTGCCCTGCTTTCCCTGAAAGATCACTTTCTAATCTTTATATAAATTCATTTCAATATAAATATCAGATTAATATAATGTTTATTCTTTAATATAAAGAGTTCAAGTTATATAAATTCATTAAATTCATTTCAATACTAAAAGTTCTTATTATATAAATTGGCTAAGATGCTCCAATAACAACAAGCACAAGAACATAATTTATTGCTCAAAAGCAGTTTTAGTTTTCAGTATCCAGTTACAAACAATTGATAAACTTAGATTTCTCTACAACAAATTAATGAAATAAAAGAAAAATGAGATCCTTAAAGCTAATAACGCAACATGAAAGAAATAATGTAAATTCCAGAACAATATGATTTCGATTTCGATTTCATTGGACAAAGATAACCATTCAAGTTACTAATGTTTAATTTATTTTACATTTTACTTCCAGAAACTTTCAATGAAGAATCAAGATCATATTTTCAAAATGCTCCAAGAAGCTCTCCATAAAAAATGGTCAGTAAAGTTCCTAACTGCCAGGGGAGCATTTTTGCTTCTATGAGATAAAAAAGAAAACAAAATAAGAAAGCAAATACCTTAAACCACGGTCAATTACGCGTCCCAACTCCACAGCAGATTCTCCAGGACGTCCTGCTTCAAATGAAGGATCAGCCATTGGAGAAAACTCAGTATAGATTGAAAGTGATCCTTCATTTGGCCTGTCTCGGTAAGGTTGAACTAGCTGGGAAGTAACAAAACCCATGACATGAGTCTGTCCAAGCTGCACCTCTGATGAGCCATCTTCTCTGCATATTCAGCATACCACAAAAGGCAAGAAAAAATCAGCACATTAGACTTTATTGAACAAAACAATAATTGGATTTCCTTAATCCTTATACTAGTGAGCCTTATTGTGCGAGTTTCATTGACAAGTAGTAAATTAAAAACCAGCCTCCTTACCAGGTTGGTTTATGTAAACAAACAGAAAGGAGTGATATATTATATCCGTCAAATATTTAGGTAAATCAATATAAACTGGAAAAAGTCACATTCAAGCATTAACAATTCTTACCTACCAAACTTGATAATTATCCGTCTAAAGTCAAATGGACGACGACCATCAACTCTAAGGTCTGAAAGTAATGCAGTCTCTATAAATTTCTTCTCATTCACGGTCATCCGCCACGTATTAGCCAATCTCTGCTCCATTTCTTATTCTGCACTCTGCAGAAATACCCTGAAATTGTTCGATATGATCAACAAACTAGAATGCAAACATGTGCCTATTACAGTTTTCCATAAACATTTTGCAATTAACACCTTAAAAACACAGCTAAAAATTGGCTTGCTACATCGGGTACATTTAACATTTACTGCAAAGCAAAAGTAGATTCAGTAGTCTAGAATTAAAACTTGTAAGCTCGATTCTAAAATATTTGGATATACATGTAATATAAATATGGCACACAAGCATATATGCAACACATATACAAGAGGTTGAGGATAAAGCCCCTCAATGGGCGAGAAGCTTGACAATGATAATCTCTCACATTTGGCGCTAGTATGGACTCTAGGGCATAGTTGGACTCTAAGGCATAGTTGTTAAAGGTTCAAGGCGCAAGGTGAGGAGCACGCCCAACTGAAGCGAAGCCCAGTTGAGAGAAAATATAAAAAATGGCACCCAATAAAGATGCAATAGTCATATAAACCAAATACTTTCTAAGTTCAATAATCAACATACTAATATAAAGATGCAAAAGCCAACCAAATAGTCAAGTTCAATAGTCAGTATACTAACATAAAGATGCAACAGTCAACTAATGAAATAAAAACTAAAACAAACATAGAAAATCAGAGCAAGGCAGCAAGCATGTCAATTACTCAATTTCAAATCAAAACAGAGGCGACCCTGCACTTTTAATTTTAACTTTCCAGGAAACAAAACAAAAACAAAGCATGCACAATGATTGTTCATATTAGTGTGTTTGTCAGTTTCAATTCCAAACACAAGGATGGTTCATTAGTGTGTGTCAGCTCCAATTTCAAAGCAAAACAGAGCATGAAACAATTAAAGCAAACAGATTAAAGTAAACTATAAAATAAGAACAGACCTTTTTCAGTTCAAACAAGAGTACAGAACCAAAAAAAAAAAAAAAGAACTTTCAGAGTTTTTTTTTTAAAAAAAATGCAAACAGGAGCGCAGGACTAAGGAGAGAAGAGGAAGAAGAAAACGAGACATGCAAACAGCACGTACTCGGGAGAGAAGAAGAGGATTCAGTTAAAACTTCGAACAGTAGAGAAGAAGCAATGACAAGAGGGTAATACCTGTAGACACTCGCCGCCGTTATTGTGGAGTCCACCAGATCGGGTAGGCTTCGTCGACAACAATTGGAGCGGAGCGAAATCTGGAGTTAGGTTTAGGGTTTTCGGATTAGGTTTTAGGGTTTTGGTAGTTGCAGCGGTGGTTTTAGGGCCGCAGAAATTTGGATTCATTTGTTACCTGATTTGTCTATTTTAATGCTTAAACGGGTTTTTTTACCCGATTTATCTATTTTAATGCTTAAATGGGATTTTTTTTATTATTATTATTTATGGGATCCACTCATGTGCCAATTTAATTTAATGTTGCTTAAAATTATTGACTATAAAAAGAAAATTAGAAGGGGGAAAAAAAAAAAAAATAGACGCTTCTGAATCTATTATATACAAGTTTGATAGTTGTTTAAAGTTTGTTTAATTCACGCTTAATTCTTGTATTCTAAACTTGAATTGTTGTATTTATATACAACATTTTTATTAATAGTTAATATATCAAAAAGAAGACTTTGTTCTCTACCTAATTTTATATAATTTTTTTCTTAATAAAAGAAGAGAATATTGTGTAAACATATATCCTTGATGATTTTTTTTTCTTTTTTCCTTCTTTAAGTTCAAAAAGCAATTTTTAGACAATCAAACAGTTTTTCGAGTTTTTGCTCTCTGAAAATTGTTTTAGAGTTTTTCCAAACTAAGAAAACTGAAAATTGTTTTCTGTTTTCATTCTCTGAAAACTGTTTTTGGAAATAGTTCTCAAAGTTTCATTCCAAGTAAGGCCTTATTTTTCTTTTTTTAGTCTTTTTGTAATTAGTTTTAGTTTTAGAACAAAGAGAACGTAGAAAACATTCTTTTTTTATGGAATATTATGAACTTATAAAACTCCATAATACCTTTTATTTTATGATAAAATTTTATATTATTAAAATTATCAAACGAGTAATTTCTCATATTTTTGTTTAAAATTTTTTTTTTTGAAAGGTTAAAAAAAAATTATTGCTAAAGAATTATATGATAAAAAATTTATTTTCTTTTTATTTATTTCACTTTCTTTTATTTTTACTTTTTATTATTTACTGTCATTACTAAGAGAGTTCTCCTGCCAATAGAAATTCTAGTCTTTTTTGTGAAGGTAAAAAATAGTAAATTAATATTCCTCATTCTTTTATTAAAATAATGATGGATAAAATAAATAATCTAGAGTTTAGCGGTAAATGTTTGTTGTCTTCATTTTTTTAAAAAAAATTATATTATTTCTTAAATTCATTCAAGTATATTTTCAATTACATTAAATCTCAAATTTTTTTTTTTTTTAAATATATCTACAAAATTACTCACACGGTGTCAAATTGCCCCGAACATATCCTACCATGTATTTAATAAAAAAATAAAATATTTAAATCTTATAACCCTTCTAATTTTATGTGAAGCGCCTTTAAATGAGATCGCATGTGTGTCATCGTGTTTATTACTTCAACAATACACTCCTAAGTCAACATAATTGATGCAACCACAAGAAAACTGACTCTCAAGATCAAATGAAATTGATATATTGATATTTCAAAATTCAAATGCATAATATTCTTACGAGAAGAGTTAAGGTAATGATACAAAATGCGTAACACATTTGTATTGAGGAAACCATCAAACACATTCGCAACTTTTATCATCAAATTAAATTATAGTAAAAAACCATTTTACTCTCTCCTGAAGTTTCAAGAAAAGTAACAAGTTAGTCCAATCCTTAATTGATAGTTAACTCCAGAATAATTTTTTACAACGTCAAAATTACTTTTAAAATAGATGAAATTACATTTTTACTCTTAATTAATATGTGGTCTGACAAAATTAACCCCAAAAATATAACCTAAATACCCTCAATCTTTTAGCATAAAGTTATCTCCTCTCTCAACGCTACTTCATAATAATTTTTATTCAATCAAACAAAAAGCTTCAATATATGCTTGATAACTCGGTACTTCATCGGTATGTCAAAGTAGGTAGAGTAATTTTGACATTGTAAAAAAAAATATACATATTTGCATTGAGATGGTACGGAATTAAGTTTATATGGTACTTAGAAAAATAGTAAAATATATATATGAAGAGAATTTGTTTGGAAACAAATTACATAAATAAAGGAATTTTATAAGATTATCTTTTATTACATTTGCGATTGTCCTCATTTTATTTAGTTAAAAAAATAGGGCAAATTGCCATCAAACACTCTTAACATTTGCAACTTTCACCATCAAATTAAATTATAGTAAAAAATCATTTTAATCTATCTTGAAATTTCAACAAAAACAACAATTAAGTTGGCCCAATCCGTTAGTTGATGCTTAACTCCATCAAAATAATTTCCCAAATACCTCAAGCTTTTAACATAAAGTTATCTCCTCTCTCTTTTCTCCTTATAATAATAGTTTATATCTATTTTAATTGAATCAAACAAAAAGCTTCAGTATACGTTAGATTAGTCACAAGATCCCGTACTTTTGAACCTTTTAAAGTAAAAGATCGATGGTTCAAATCCCTATAAAAATGTATTTGATGACATCACATATTAATTAAAGGTAAAAATGTAATTTTATCCATTTAAAGGATAATTTTAGCATTGTAAAAAAATATATTAATTGAGTTAACAGTCCATTAACGGATTGGAGCTAAAGTGATTTTTTATCATAGTTTCATATGAGAGTGAAAGTTGCGAACTTTAGAGTGTTTAAGGGTAATTTATCTTTAAAAAAAAAAAAAATTCATGCAAATTGTATATTTAAAAAAATAAAACAAATTCAATTAATGTGTGGATACATTCTATTGTATGTCTTATTTTCTCTTTAGGGAATACTGTTTTAAATTTTGCAATAAGTCAAAATTAGCTAGGACTCAATAAACTTAAAAATACCTCACTTGCAATATTTAAAATTAATAAATTAAACTTGTATTTGTATTGAGAACTTAACTATTTTCTGTAAGGTTCTACAAGACGATTATGAACTATTGTAACAAGGGATATATAATTTTAAAACATTAAAGAATTTGTAAAAATTCGTAGATTGAAGAGAATTCAAGAGTAAAGAATTTTATAAAAACAATTAATATGTAGATATTTTAGGTGTACGTCTATATAAAGAGGGAAATGTTTAATTTAGAATCACCAATTGCTAATAGTGAGTGTAAAGCCCTTACCATTAGCTCACGTTTCTTAAAAATTAATTGAGGTTGATGATAAGACAAAAATAAAATAAAATAAAAATAGAGAAAATGACTAATTTTAAGATAAATCATAACATAATTGTGAGGATTTATGAAACCATTTAAGTGGTCTTTACTTATTTCTAATACATTTATTCATAAAAATAATTAAAAATAATAATTAATCATATATTTTTGTTCAAATTTATATTACCTACCATTTGAAATTTTTTTTTTTTCAAATAAAAATTTAAGCAAACTTATTGATACAAAACCATCCCATTGACAAGGAATTAGACTTAATCAAGTCCAATCTAAATCAAATACCATTATTCCAATAGCTATAATTTTTTAAAATGTCAAAATTACTCTTCAGGTTTTTTTTTGTTTTTTTTTTATTTTTTATAAAGGCACAAAGGCATAAAGTCAAGTCAGAAAAGACATACAAATCTTGAACCAAAACAAATAAATGAATAACAGGCTCCAGATTTGGAGAGAAAACAGAACCCAACACTTGCCGACGGAACCACCACGAAAAAAAGTAACAAACTGGAGAGACTGAAAGGTTTGGCCATCAACACGGCAACCGCTCCAAAGCTACAACCACAAGACGCTCCGACACATAAAACCCTGCACAAGATCCAAATCCAATCAAGGAGAAAATGATCAAATCTAAGCGAGGAAAAACCCAAAACCGGTCTAGATCAGAGATCTAGCATGAGAAGAACAACGAATTTGCCTAAGTGAGACGAAAACGAAACAAACAAGAGCAGATCGAGCTGGACAAAAATAAAAACAGCATAAAAAAAAATTTACGAAACACACTTATTCGAACATGTCGAATTTATTACATCCGGGAGAGGCAGCTAGCAGCTCCCCACTCCCATGGAAGGAAGCAGGGAGCGGCAAAGGATGGAGACGACGGCTTCTGTAGAGAGAGAAAGGTAGAGAGAGGTGAGAGAATCAAACAAATGATTAACTCCTGCTCAGGTAGACTAAGTTACATTTTTACTCTTAATTAATCTGTGATCGGACAAAATTAACCTCAAAAATATAACCTAATTACCCCCTATCTTTTAGCGTAAAGTTATCTCATATCTTTTCATCCTTTACCGAGAGAGAGAACATTACTTCATAGTAATTTTAATTCAATAAAACAAAAAGCTTCAGTCTATGTTTGATAAGTCACAATACTGTGTGTACTTCTTTTGCTTTCCAAAGTAGTAATTTTGATATTGTAAAAAATTATTCAGCCTGGCATATTTGCATTTAGGTAGTAAGGAATTAAGTTTATGCCAGTGCGGCTCAATCTAATTTGAAGTCTTTGCTGAAAAATAAAAAAGTGAATTTTTTAACAATACAAATAAAATTAGTCACAACTAAAAAAACAAAATATACAAATATATATACACAAATTTATAATAACAAAAGTTAATAAAATTAAAAAATAATTAAAGAAAAAGAACCATTAAACCTGATTTAGAAAACCAAAATTTAATATTTCTACAAATTTTTCAATAGAATAAAAATGCGTTCATAACAATTGTAAACTTATAATGAGAGTAGGGAGGAGAACACTTGTTAAAAAGAATAACATAAACCATAAATAAATAAAACAATATGAAAAGTTTTCGCCATTTTTACAAACAACAACTTTAAATAGATATTTAATATTTTACTGTTGCTGTAACTTACCCACCTAACCAAAAATCTTTCTTTTAGGATATAAATATAAAATTGAAACGAGTGCGAAGAGACCAAAAAAAAGAGAGAGGTTATTTTAGGGTATAAATCTTTGAGGCCTAATATAAATTTTTTATATTTATTAGAGTTTAACAACATTAGAAAATAATTATAGTATAATTTAATATAAGAAAATTTTAAAATTTTATGGCCTTCCTATTACTCCTGATTTATGGTATTTGAAAAATAAAATTTGAAGAGAATTTTTTTTGGAAACAAATTATAAATAAAGGAACTTTACATTTGTGATTGTCCT